ATGTGAACACGTTAAAACGAGTGTTAAGTAGATCAGTTTTTGTTTTTTTTTTCGTTTGTTACACACTTGATAAATTTTCATTCTTCTACATTTCTGCACACCAGTTGCTTAAACATGCAAGTTTTAAACTGCCTTCTTTCATTAATTAAAAGTGATTATACTAAATTATTTTGCATTAAAAAAAGGCAGAATGTTAGTCATGTTCCGGATAGTCATGCAAGACTAAACAAGGGCAATCTGCGCTAGCAACCCCCTAATTACAGGGAGGGCTAACTGACAACATTCACTGCAAACTCTTGAGCTTCTATAATCGAATACTGAGAGCTGGTCGTCGCTCTTATAATACATCCACAACCCCTTAGAGCGGAGTGTGATTTTGCGGCAACGGGACGCGAACATTGAACCCTAGATTTCACAGACTGGCATTTTGGAGTATATTCAATTTGAGCATCTTTTCTGTTGTTGTTTTAATGAACAAATACGTGAATTATAAAACCAGTCGTCTTAATAAATCTACTTGCACGATTAACACTACAGTGGATCACTTTTTATCTTACATTTAAAAATTTGAGTTCTTAGCTTGGTTCTCTTAATTAATAATTAAAATTAGCCAAGCAGTATGACGAACAAACTTACCATCATTATTTTATTGACACAGTTATCAAAGGCGGACCTCAGTTTACGAGAAATCTAGCAAATAAGTCATGATCTCGAAGAAGTGACACGTGGCAAAGTTGGAGTGAAATATTCGTTTTTTTTACATACCTCTTAATTGGTATAATTAATGAATAAATTAGAGGTTATAATAAAGTCCCTTAATTGTGTAAAAAAACTTGTTTTCATAAACACGGAGAAACAACCAAACAGACAGTCTGTTACCATATATCAACGAGCCAGTTCGTTTACCATTGTTTACCCAATAGCCAAACAACTAAAAAAAAATATGTTATTAACAGAGCAGCAAGCTAACAAAAGGCTATTGTAACACGCAAACAATGTACTATCGTTGACATAGTAGCAAGCTAAAAATATTATCGATAGAAAACTCACTGAAATCACGTTTGGGTCCTCGTAAACATCGTTTGTAACCCTTGACCCTAGACTTTTAAATGGAAAAATTAGTTGGTCACTTACCATGACAACTAGTGAATGTTGTGTTGTATTATTGAGTTTGACGTCAAAATGCAATCTGAGATAATTGAACAATAAATACAACAAAAACATCAGTGGTTAGTCTTGCAGAAATAACGTGTTGTGGGCGGTTTGTTTTAACCATCTGAAGACGTGCATTGTTGCAACATTGTTTATTCCTTTTTCCTGTGGTAAATGTTGTTATACCACGTGACTATAATACACGAAACAATGAAAGTCAGTTTCAATACGTTGTATGTAGATATTGTTGTTATTATTCTTAACTTTCGAAACTCTAAATGGATTTTGTATTAGATGTAATTGTTGAATAACAACCTCAACCATAAAGGATGTAGCAACGTAGACCACAGCATGGTACAATCAGAAGATTACAAACATGTCATAAAACCTCAAAACCTGCTGTTAGAAGAGCTATAAAGTGGTGATATTGAAATACATTCTAGATGTAGAGATCGTTGTTTTATTTATGTCAATTATTGTTATTATGTTGATATATTGAATGGTTGGTTTACTGATCTTTTTTATCTTAAAAACAACGATTTGGGTACATAGACGCTAAAGAAAATAAATCAATCCACAGGTTGATTGGTTGTAGTAAACCACTTTTATTAATATTGTTCTTTTCATGGAACATCTGGTTTCACTTACATAACTTAGACAGCAAATTAAATACACCACATCATTCTAAAAGAGGATTACTAAATAAAGCCCAGAATTCAACTGGTAGCATATGGCATCGCAACAAGACAGGTGGCGCTCATGGCTCATGAATGTACATGTATATAAATCTATATCTATATGTAGATATGTATGACCTATACATATAGAAGCCATATACATGGCGAGTTCCTGCCGCGCGGGGTTACGAACATCAACATAGAACTGGACAAAATTTACACTACAGCGATAACGTGTTAATATTCATTGCTTTACACGAACACTAAGATTGAATATTCCTTATACTGTACAAGATTAACTAAGAAATACATAATACTTATTCCAGGGACCCGTCTCAAGCTTACAGTCTCTGCCTTTGTAATTGGAGTCTTGGGTTTTAGTCCATTTGTCATGAAACACATGCCAGACAAGTTTTTAAAGTAATTTGAAGGGCCTGCCCTAAAACTAAAAGAGGAACTACAGAATCTCTGCAATAAGTACAGATTTGAAATGAGACTGACCATTTATTTGTAGGACTAGACCTATGTGGCGAGCAATCTGACAAAACAAAAACCCAGCCCAATCCAACTATTGTAAAAAAAAAAAATCATTATGTCGGTGCCCCTAGTTTCAAACGAACATACTTATTCGACCTGGTAATTTTAAACTAAGCAATCGCACGTTTTTTTGTTTTGTTTTTTGATAGAAAGATTAAAGAAAATCCCAACCCAATCCATACTATTGTAAATAAAAAATAAAAAAATTCGTTATGTAGGTGCCCCCTAGTGTCGAACCAACCTACTTATTCAACCAGGTAGATTTCAAACTAAGCAATCGTACGTTTTGTTGTTGTTTTTTGATAGAAAGATTAAAGAAAATCCCAACTTAATAGCACAGTATTGTAAAAAAAAAAATGTTCGTTATGTAGGTGCCCCCTAGCTTTAAAACTTTAGGATTTAACGGACTTGTCTATCTGTTTCAACTTGTTTGAAAATGACTTTCCAACATATTAGCACAGAGTATTCAGGGCTTGTTGAGGACGTGTGTTATTATTTCGAAACATGGCCCTTAAACAAACTGTTTAAAAAAAAAGAAAAAAAGATACTCTATTAAAATCTCTCACATTAAAAATAAATTGATTAGAATCAAACCTCCCAAATATTTGGATAATATAGTTTTTAAGAAACAATACGATTAGAATAATACTTTTCTGTAACTCTTAAGTGATTACAAATTCAAAATTTTATTCATTCATTTATTCAAGTGCAAGAATACGACAAATTATACAGAATATTTTACTTGGAACGTCTCTAATACGTTTGTACTCAGAGTTAATGCTCCAGTGCACGAGGTCACCCTAAAAACAAACGTTAAAGTTATTGTAAGCCATCTTATCAAACAAGAATACTCAATGCTACATTCTGAAAACAAAGTCGGCTACAACATGTGTGTGTTAAATTTTATGACTGAGGACAATATTTGTTCAAGACTCTCAGTGGCTACAACACGTGTGTGAATTTTTGTGACTGGGGACAATATTTGTTCAAGACTCTCAGTGGCTATAACACGTGTGTGAATTTTTGTGACTGGGGACAATATTTGTTCAAGACTCTCAGTGGTTACAACATGTGTGTGAATCTTTGTGACTGGGGACAATACTTGTTCAAGACTCTCAGTGGCTACAACACGTGTGTGAATTTTTGTGACTGGGGACAATATTTGTTCAAGACTCTCAGTGGCTACAACACGTGTGTGAATTTTTGTGACTGGGGACAATAATTGTTCAAGACTCTCTGTGGCTACAATATGTGTCAATTTTTGTGACTGGGGACAATATTTGTTCAAGACTCTTTGTGGCTACAACATGTGTCAATTTTTGTGACTGGGGACAATATTTGTTCAAGACTCTCTGTGGCTACAACATGTGTCAATTTTTGTGACTGGGGACAATATTTGTTCAAGACTCTCAGTGGCTACAACACGTGTATGAATATATAAAATATATAAAACATGGCTTGAAAAACCCAGTTTCTCATTGGAACCATTGTCTCTAATTTAATAGTTATTTAATTAGGCAATCAATCTCTCAGAAGTAACAAAAAAAAAAGGAATATTAATTACTGTCTTCTAACAAACTTCATGCATTTATCCAGCTAGTATTTTTTTCACTTAGTTTCTATATCGAATCTGTGTAAGTGTTGGGAAAGGGGGGGGGAGTAGAAACAGCGTAAAGAAGACCTCAAATAGGTCCGTGTTTTTATCTAAAAGTATGGATTTAAAGAAAAGTATCTGGAATACTGCCTTATCTTTGAAAAACGATGATAATTTTCCTATATACATGTATATGTTGTTTTGGGGCCTATATCCATAATGTAAGGGGTCACAACCACTTGTTTTGTGTTCCACTGGGGCCTATATCCATAATGTAAGGGGTCACAACCGCTCTTCAATGGAAAAAAAAAAAAGGACACTCTCATTTTTTAGTCTATGTACAACACCAGACCGAAAACACAACAACAAAAAGACAAAAATATAACAAATATAACAAAAGATAAGAGCATATGATTACCAAAATCCTGAGATGAAAATATGTTACTTACACATTAACTGATTCTATTCTCTCTGTTCAGATTTACTTACGAAGTCTTCCAAATTTTGTACTTGCCGTTTTCAAATATTAGTTAAACCTGTTTCTTTCCTATTTACTACAAATGTTTAGGTAAGGCAACTGTTCCCGCAAAAAAAAAAGCCGGAATATTTATTTTTAAGAAATTCATTGGAATTCTTAAATTGTCTCCGTGATCAGGAATACAGGTACCTCTCTTCTGAAACTTGCGTTTAATTTAAAGAACACTGATATACAAAACGTTACTTTCCGTTTTAACTTTTTTTTAAAATGGCTTACTGGAACTAAGGTTATATAATAAAACAAGTGGGTAACATCCATTACAGCAAATATTTAATAAAAATTTATTATTTTGTGGCACACTTTTAATTTTCTGATATGATTTTGGCGAGATTTGTTGTTGTTTCAACACAACAAAATACACAAATCATACCCCAACCGGAAATGGGCATTTTCTGTCCAATAAAATTTTATTATGGCAGGTAGTAATAATATTTTAATTTGGCATATCAGGAGCTATGATACCAAACGAACCTTCTCATCAAATAGTATTTATATTGGGAAAAGGAAACTAATGTTTATTTTCGGATTTGTTTTCCATTAAACAACACGCTGGTGACTAATTATAACGCATTAAGAATAAACACCTCAACACCCCTGTCCTAACACAACCAATTCAGACTTTCTCTTCCAGCATACGAGTCGGGCTTAACTGCTTATGGCAACAGATATGCTATGATGAGAAACGATTTTGGCAAAACTTTATTTGACGAGTTTTTTTTTTTTTCTTTATTGCAACTTTGGCGTTCTAGGGGAACCAGGTGGGCAACATACAAAAGCACGGTGAACAAATTGAGCACACTTCCATGCTCTCATCTTCTCCAAATACAAACGTCCATTACTCCAATAACCAAGGTTTATATTCCCATGAATACACTAAATTACAGACTGACCTCATATTACATACCATTGCCTTTTTTATCTTTCTTCATTTGTTTTTTTTTTTTTTGAGCATTTGAAGGATCTTTCATCTCTCGGAACCGAGAGACAAGGATTATACATTTTTATATATGTATAAAAAGAATTTCTAAGCGTACTTATTACTTTTTATCTTCTTTTTTAGTGTCAACACCGTTGCCCGCAGCGCTAACGTGGACGGCGGATGGTGTTTGGTAGTTGTTCAACTGCTTCTCTATGTATTTGAGCGACTCTGTGAGAAAGTTCTGAACTGCGGTGAGGGCTGCCACTACTGCAGGACTGCCAAACCCGTGAGTAATGAGGGAGAAATGCGTGAGATGGCGCTGAATATTGGGATCCAAAATGCTTTGAGGCCTAGTATTGCACAAAGGAGACCTATCCTGATTGAGAAGATCGGAGAACTCTTTCAATGTTTGTCTGAAAAACAGAAACAAATATGACCATTTAGCAGAAGAAACAAATATAAGTTAAACAGCTATGTACATATAGATAGATTAAATAAAAATTATTCTGGCTATAAGAAAAACTATGGAATACACACTAGTTTCAGGAAAAAAAAACTGTTCATAACACATCACTACTGAACAGATAGAAATGTATTTTTCATTTCTCCCCTCAGAAATATGAAAATTATAAACTGTTAGTCATGGGCTCGATTTCACCATTCTTTTGGAAACTAAAACATACACAGTGAATAGAAAAATAAAAGGAACTCGGGCCACAAACAAAAATGAAATCGTTGAATTAAAGAAAGATAAAATAATTCAATTTTTTTTTCCAGGCTCATTTTACCATGACGTAAATAAATTACGTCGCCAGTTTGGACCACAACAAAAAAATTCCCACGCATGCCTGGCTAAGAAAAGAGCTACGCCTTACGTTTATTTTATTTTTTTAACATTTTCAACTTGTTATCGAATAGATTTACCTTTTTGACTTGCCGTTGATAACTGGAAATGTCAAATGGAAATTACTTCTTTAATAAGTTTCCTTTAATGTGACAGTCACGAGGAGTTGATTAATGTGAAATGTTCTTATTTAAAGACATCTGAGGCCTGGGAAATACATGTTGATATAAAAATATGACTTGTGTTATTGAAGAATTATTATTGAGTTTTTATCGTATTTTTAAGCTCTTCTCTGAACGTTGGTTGCTGTTACTAATACTGCATGTTTCATAATGACAGGCGATTTATAAGTTTAAACACATGGAAACCCCGGTTACAGGTTTCAGTATTCATTCAGCTTGCTTTGAATAAGTAGAAATACAAATTTTGAATATATTCATTTTAGAATCGGTATCCGGGAGTGGCTTACCACTTAGCGTGTCAAACTGCAGATGTAAAGGTCTTAGGTTCGAGCTGTGATATGCCACTGAGTAAGCTCAGATTTGGGGCCATTCTCTCTCGTTATTAGGTTAAGAAGGCGGCTGGTGTTATTAACTAGATGTCTTATCTCTGGTCAACTGATCAAAAAACTAGGAATGTGTACGTTTGATTATTGGGGTCTCAAATCTGGTCGTTTAGCCTATATATATGGTGTAAGGTGCTAGATTTACCAGCTCCGACAAAGGCTGAGTAGAATTCGATTCGTAAAGTCAGTGATATAAAAAAACCATATCCTCCATTTATTTATTTTAAACAGTAAGCTAAGATTTGGAAAATTTGAGGAGTAATGTAAGGACTAAATTTTCTAAGTATATAATGTTTATAATCAATATCTTTCAATCTGCCCCATCAGTTCTAAACTGTAACAAACCGAAAACACACATGGCCCTACTCAAGATAAATTATACCCTTCACCTAAATATTCTTTTGAACAAATCACTATCTCATTTGTTCGCGTATAGCACGTGTCAGTCACTGCTATACCTGCGGTATCCCAGCCAGCCTAGAAGAGATCTCTGGTACAGTATTAAACGAAAGGCCTCGACGGCACTAAATACAGCATATATAGACTAATATTGTGTTCAGCATATTATTATAATATAATCTTCTTCACTATCACTCAGAGTGAATCCACAAAAGTTCTGTAGTGGCAAATTTATTTATTTTTTCGTGCCGGAGCCCCGCCAAAACTTCTGGAACACATGTGACGTCACTATCAAATTTTAAACCTAATCTCGGTTATGCATCCTATCGATTTGTTGCTTTTCTTTAATAGGTCAACTTAAGGAAAATCTTCCACTTTTGTTCGCCTATGACTACTTGCAATCTCTACATCTAAGTACTTGTGAAGTACAGTTCCATAGAACGATGTGCCATTCATCAAATTTTTAATTAAAACACCTACAATATTAAACTCTTAAACAACAACAACAAAAACACAGCAATAAACAGCGTATCTCACATGTTCTGCTACTGTAATAACCAATCTAGTTAAAGCTGAGATTAGTAGGTTTGGAATAGCCAATTTAATTAAAGTCTGAGATACGTAGGTTTGGAATAGCCAATCTAGTTAAAGCTGAGATTAGTAGGTTTGGAATAGCCAATTTAATTAAAGCTGAGATTCATAGGTTTGGAATAGCCAATCCAGTTAAAGCTGAGATTCGTAGGTTTGGAATAACCAATATAGTTAAAGCTGAGATTAGTAGGTTTGGAATAACCAATCTAGTTAAAGGTGAGATTCGTAAGTTTGGAATAGTCAATCCAGTTAAAGCTGAGACTCGTAAGTTTGGAATAGCCAATCTAGTTAAAGCTGAGACTCGTAAGTTTGGAATAGCCAATCCTGTTAATACTGAGATTAGAAGTTTGGAATAACCAATCTAGTTAAAGCTGAGATTAGTAGGTTTGGGAATAGCCAATCTAGTTAAAGCTGAGATTCGTAGGTTTGGAATAGCCAATCTAGTTAAAGCTGGAACTTTCCTTTTTGAGAAATGATAGCCTAGATGGTTACTGCATCTCCTGTAATATAAGAGTATACGTGTCAGGGAAAGGTATTTTCAATCTGAACGCGCACCTTATGCGTACGTAGGCTTATGTTCAACCAACCTTTTAACAGTTGAGGATCAACTAATACTGATCAAAAGTTTTCACAGACTGCTTCGTATAATTATTAAATTATTCTATATTATATTATTAAACAATTTATTTCACCAACTATTTTTTTTCTTTCAAAAAACGTTTTATATATATTTTTTTAATCATCTCGCGGACAGGATAAATCTCGCCTATGATCTGGCGGTTGGGAACCACTGGTTCATAAACACTATAGGATCAATTCAGTCAAGCATAACCCTCCCCAATTTCGAACTTCTGACCAGACAAAGGACAACCATCCAGCAGCAATCGCAGCCATAAGGACTTTGTTCAACTCTTTGAACAAATAAATTAGAATTGAGTTTAAAATTCATAACGGGCTAACTAACACCTGAACACATGCGCAATAAGTTCATGAACGTCACGTCTCGAGCATCTTAACCTTTAAACCACAGTTTAATACGTCACACCCTGCTCAAAAAGAGTATCTTTGAAGAGAGCTGAATTATCCATTTATACGTTGCGCCAACTTGGTTAACTGCGTTGTTATTACACAATTTAAAGGGCTAAGTAAGAGTCACTCACCATCACACAAACGTAAAAGCGGCAGGTGCTGGAAAACGGGGAAGCACTGGAAACGTTTATAAATAGTTCAACCACTTCAGAAGGCTCGAGGAGCAGAACAATGCATACACAGATACAATAAAATTGCATTTCTTTCTTTAAACCGGAGTACCGTTTAAAGAAGTAACAACGGGCGTTCTTTTCAAATTTCAAAATAAATGCCCATTTATCTATGTACATTTGGCGGCGTTCACTAATCATTGGGCATTCACATATTGAAGTGAATACGAGCTACATAATGAGCTATCTATATTCTGCCCATCGCAGGTATCTAAGCTCGATTTGTTTAGCTGAGCCACGAGAGGTAGCATAACGAAGGGGGGGGGGGCGATTATTTTTAAATTACATCCTTTTTATGGCTCTGTTTTGTTTTTATACTCAGACAACGTAAATATTAAAGGAGCTTGTAAATTCCAGACATGTCAATCGTCATCATTAGAGACTAAGTACTTCTGGCGCTCTGGCTATTTTTTTAATGTCTACCAAGCACAGAACGGACGAAAAGGACAAGATGGTTTGCTGCTGCTCTCAGTCGAAGCTTGTAATTAGCACCAAACTACAGGTTTCTGTGATTTATCACTGTAACTCTGTCGGTCTGCTAGTGTGTGTATATGTCATTGACTTCTAATGATTACGAAAACCAACGAGATCCGGGTTGGAGACCGTTTGGGTTGTTACTGATTTCAATTCAGAAAAAGAATGTGACGCAAGAAAAAAAAAAACAACTAATGTGACGCAAGAAAAAAAGAGCAAATTGCGTGGAAATAAAAGCTAGTCATATTCGTCCGAAACTTGCGTCTCTGACAAACAAGGTGGCTGCTGGGGGTGGGGTGAGAATGGTGCAATTACACAGGAAATAATAGAACTTTAGGTGGTTTTGGAATATTTTTGTTGTATTTAAGGTGGTGGCGCGGTCAGCTGGGTGAAACAATGAAATTGTTGTATTTAAGGTAGTGCACGGTCAGCTGGGTGAAACAATGAAACTGTTGTGTTTAAGGTGGTGGCGCGGTCAGCTGGGTGAAACAATGAAACGGTTTTTAATTGATCGTCATGTCTCTAACAGAAACAAAATCTATGAACTTAGTGGTCGTTGAAGTTCGTAGTGACAGTTAAACAAATAAATGTTGACTGACACAACTTTTAGACTTCTGACCATTTATTTGCTCTGGTAAGTCGACGCTAGCACCAGTTGCAGCTGCACGCCTGTTATTTAACAAACACATACATACATATATATATATATATACATAAACTTGTCTTTACACGGTAGGAGGAGGAGGGGGGGAGGAAAGTGACATCGACAACCGACCGACAT